TGTTATTATTATTGAAATGAAAGCACACATTTTAAAAAGTCTCATAAACTTAATAATTTCTTTGGGATATGGATTATGTTTCTAAGATACTGTTAACATCAAAATACATATCTTGGCAGGTTGTATATTTACTCTGCATTATTCATTAAAAAGTCAGCACTGATACATTTATGAGATTATTAAGTAAATATCTACAATTTCCCAGAGGGAACCAGGCATATGACAGATAAATTTCTCTGTGGGAAAGAAGTCTGAACTTTGTAGGTTGAAGGTAATTGATATGGGAACTGGTAAGAGAAGTCAGACCCAGGCCAAATGCACCATGTGTGATCTGATCATAACAGGTCTTAAATTCAGCAAGGGGAAGAGTTTACAAGCTTTCATCTATGCTTTGAAAACACACTGAGTTTTCCTGGGCATCATCTTTTGCTTCAGATTTGTTTATTTTCCAACTAACAAAAGGGTACCTGTCTCCTCTGAATCTTTAAGCAAAAATTTCTTGAAGAGCCTAATATCCTTTTGTTAGTTGTTAAATAAATCTGCAATAATAAATAAATGCCTTTCTTTTTTGGGGGGGGGTGGATTCTTTTTCTAGCCTTTTTTTCTAGGCCATCTGGGTAAAATTTATCCTTGAGTTCACTAGAACTTCAAAGGTAAGAAATTCCTCTGTGTGTTATTGCCTATCGGATTCCTGTGGGGATTATAAGTGATTTTTAAAAGAACTGAGAGTTGAATTAAACACAGCTGTAAATGAAAAGAATACCAATAAGAAAACAGTTGGTTTTTTTCCTCTAGGAACTAACACTAATTCTATATAGAGTTACCGACTTTTACTTTCCATGAGCAACAAAATAATCACCAATATAAAATGAGAGGTACCCCAAAAATTATAAAACAAAATAAAATTAGGTATGCAATTTGTTTATCCAGAAACTTCATCTCTTATAAAAACAAAATTCAGACTCCAACTGTGGAAGAAAAAAGCTCAGGAGAGAAGAGTAAAGGCATCGGCAGAACCAGGGACCCACAGGGGAGAGCTCCCTGCCAGGGTCCTTGCGATCCTACGCTCAGGAGAGCCAAAGGCCAACTTTAAAATTCCTAGAATGAAATCAGTACAAATAAAGATTCAAGTAGGTACCAGCTACTTGAATATAGGATCAAATTTGAAACTGACCTAGAAATCAGATCATTACTTCGGTCTAATAATCTCTCAGATTAATGGATACCCTATTAGTTGGATCCCGGAGTTGGATACCTATTAGTTGGATACCTATTAATGGATCCCGGAATATTTCATGTTTGTTACTCCAGTCTGTTGTTTTCCCTTCTTCAAACAATAAAGCCTCTGTCTCAGCTCAATCCTAAAGGTATTCTACAAACGTGGCTTCTTCCCCCCTCTGTTCTTGGTAGGTGGTAAAGTGTATATTCCCAATAATGAAATTTTAAGTATCGAAACCTAGAAGGCTTTCACAGCAAGGGGGAATGCCACATGGAGGAGGCCACTGTAGCATGCAGCGAGGGCAGACCCAGGAACCAGACACAGCTGGGCAGCGCCATTCTCCTAGTGCTCACGTGGCTTTGAGAAACCACTTGAGTTGGCTGAAGCCACACTGAAAGGAGACATTCTATAGCTTTCAAATTATGACCGGATTTAAATGCAAAATCTGTAAATGTGAGCTACTGCATGTAAATGTGAATATTATTCTTTTAAAAATAGATGGCTTACCATGATCTTATAAATAGAGCATGAGCTGAGCTCTACATTCAGTAACATTGATGGGATTTTTAATAATGTTTTCCTATGCTTGATTGGTATCTTAAATATCTCCCCTTTTGCTTAGTGTTTTAAAGATTTTATTTGCATTTGCTTAATAAAACCAGAAAGGCATTTGTCAAAGATGTGCACGCATCTTTGCAAAAGATGGGTGGCTCAGCCGTTAAGCGTCTGCCTTCGGCTCAGGTCATGATCCCGGGGTCCTGGGATCGAGCCCCGCATCGGGCTCCCTGCTCGGCGGGAAGCCTGCTTCTCCCTCTCCCACTCCCCCTGCTTGTGTTCCCTCTCTCGCTGTGTCTCTCTCTTCAAATAAATAAATAAAATCTTAAAAAAAAAAAAAAAAGTATTTTTAGGGATCTGCACATTGCACACAATGATCCCATTTTCCGAACATCAAACCTATAAGACAGAATCCCTGAATTTATAATGAAATGATGCCAGGTACCCAAAACTAGAAGGCTATTAAAAGCATGAGTGGAAATTACACATGAGGATACTACTGAATTTAGCTATTTGGACAAAGGGAATTCCTTCCCAAATCTGGGCCAAATGAATTCTCTTTCCTATAAATTTGGAATAAAGACTAAGAGGATCTAACCTAGTTCAGTCTGGCTTAGTCTCGTGAATTGGTATCTGTGGCGTGACGGTCTTTGACCTACCTTCGACTGAAAATATGAACGAAGCACAAGTGGGTCATGCTGCCTAGCCTGGTGGGTTTTCAGTTCTGGGTTCCCGTCCCTTCCTGAGGCCTTTGGCATTCCTGACCTCGGACCTACGGAACACCTGTCTACCAGCTGTTATCACTTTCTATTACTTTCACGTGAACAGTGAGAACAAGTCATGCTTTTGGGACTGTTGCTGTACAGTCCGTTATTCCTGTGACTGAACCGAGGCTGTAAGTGGCTGTTACTGGACTTTGGGGAACACGTTCTAGAAAGTGAGCTTTCCCAGCTCTGCTCTCATACTCCCGTGAATGCAGACTTCATCCTGATGATATCTGGGATCTTAAAAAAATCTAAAAGATATTATTTGAATAATGTGTTATTTTGGGCACCGTTGAAATAACTTTAAAGATATTCCTGAATGGTTATGTATTAAAATGAATGGGGACTTATTTTAATCAGATGAATATAGCTTTTATTTAAATAAGAGAATGAAAGGCAAGACATATGAATTTAATAGAATGTTTCATCTCCATGGGGAGCGAAACACTTTTATATTGTCATTTGCCTGCCAGTATCGGATTACTTCATAAATTACTCCATGTAAATAAGAAGTTCTAGCTAACTGTAGCATATAACAAAGTGGCAATTAAAAACAAAACATGTACTCCGAAAAAATATTTCCTTAAATTTATCATGTACCATCTCTCTTTATTTTAAAACATTGCTGGGCGCCTGAGTGGCTCAGTTGGTTAAGCGTCTGCCTTCGGCTCAGGTCATGATCTCAGGGTCCTGGGATCGAGTTCCGCATCGGGCTCCCTGCTCAGTGGGGAGTCTGCTTCTCTCTCTGCCTGCCACTCTCCCTGCTTGTGCACGCTCTCTCTCTCTCAAATAAATAAAATCTTTAAAAAGAACATTATTTTTCAAATTCTATAAGCACTGTCTGTTCATTGAAGAACAATTACAAAATAAAGTATAAAGAAAAAATTAAAATCATCTATAACCTCAATTCCAAAAACAAGTACCACTAACGATGCTTGGTACCTGATTTCCATATCTCACATCGTGTGTGGTGGGTGTGTGCTTACACGCTAGCTGCTGGCTGGCACTAAAGCCGCCAAGAGGGGTCCCACTGTTCTCCTTGGATGGGACAGGTACCATGTGGATGCAGGGCCAGGACCACCTCCTGCTAGTGTGGTGGTAGTAGGAAATCGTGCTATAGGTATGTCTAAAATATGACTTGAGATTAGTGATAATTTTTATTTTAAAGTGGTGGTACTTGGTGTTACCTCTCCCACAACCCCAAGTATTTCGTTCAAGTCCACTCACAAATGTTTTGTGAGAGAAGTTTCCCATCTGGCCCTCTGCCACTTGGGAAAGGATAGCATGTTGGATGCAGGAGTCAGGAAATTCTTAAGGTCCTGGGATCTGTTTGAAAATCATTGAGACTTTCCAAAACAAGCAGCCTGACCTAGTCTTCAGAGACCAGGGACAGCATAGCTGACATCTGAGATGTGTATGTTTTTTGAACTTTACTATGTGTCTGGCATTCTGTTAAGCAGTTTACATAAATTATCTCACTGAATTTCCACAACCCTATGAGGTTAGTGGTAGACCTAGAATTCAGTTGTAGGCTATCTGGTGTATAGATCAACCTATTATCTATCTATCATTCATCTATATCTATCTATCTATCATTCATCTATATCTATCTATCTATCTATCATCTATCTATCATCTATCTCACAAAGAATATACTGGTTTTCCCACTAATTTTTCTTCTTGTTAATGTTGAGACAAGTTTGATATATTCCTAAAATATGGTTATTCATTTCTACATAGTATATGGATTCGATAGGACTTTTGAAATCCTGGTGATGTATATTTATATTTCTCTTGCTGTTATAAGCAATGATGAATATCTTAACATTGTGATTGAGATTTCATTGTCAGATTAAACAATTTTTGGATCACTGATTCATTCTTGGCCTCTCTAAATCTGTTTCTTCATCCTTAAATGGGAAAAATAATAATTTTATGAAAGAACTGTGAAATACTATTCATAAAATGCTCACTCGGCATGCACTCTAAGATTCAATAAAGAATACCCAATTTTCTTATTAAATAATTATAAACATTTACCTTATTTCTATTCCATTTTTAGTATTGGTATTAGTCTTCATACAAATTTCGGATTATTTCCTTAGGAAAATTCCGACAAGTGAAGTTCTGAGTATAGGTTTTGATCTCTACTGCCAAATTTTCTCAAGAAAATTGGCATGGATATTACTACCAGGGACAGTAGTTAGGAGAGCTTATTTCCTAAACACTCGTTAAAGCTAGATATATTTATCAGCAGAAGATCTTTTCCAATTTGATGTGTGTGGTATCTCAATTTAATTTAATGTGAAGTTGAAAATTATCCATATATTTGTTGACCAGACAAATATTCTCACTTATTTCTATGTCTATGTATTTTGGCTCAGGATGTGTGTATTCTGAATATCTGAGTCTTACAAATTTTCAGATCTGGTAAGGAGGCATCTGCTTTCTGCCAACTTCTCTTTTTTTTTTCTCATTAAACTTTTGTTTTAATGGGTCTCAAAATTCTATGACAGATTTTTGGTCAAGTTGTTTCCATTAAAAAGTACTGATTTTAAAAACTAATAACTTAAAACAGCCACACACACACAAAAAAACAAATGGTCCACAAAACATTCTCCTTTCCTTCTGAAGGTTTTACGATGCATTGTTATCATTAACCAGCCTTTTACTATTAAACTTAAATGGCCAATTGACACAAACAGTTCTGAGACCGTTCTTCCACCACTGATTAAGACTGGGCTGGCAGGTATTGGGGATAATATTCATTTAGCCTTCTGAGCTTTCTGGGCAGACTTGGTGACCTTGCCAGCTCCAGCTGCTTTCTTGTCCACTGCTTTGATGACACCCACAGCAACCGTCTGTCTCATGTCACGAACAGCAAAACGGCCCAGAGGAGGATAGTCAGAGAAGCTCTCAACACACATAGGCTTGCCAGGAACCATATCAACAATGGCAGCATCACCAGATTTCAAGAACTTGGGACCATCTTCCAGCTTTTTTCCAGAACGACGATCTATCTTCTCCTTCAGCTCAGCAAACTTGCAAGCAATGTGAGCTGTGTGACAATCCAGCACAGGGGCATATCCAGCACTGATTTGGCCTGGATGGTTCAGGATAATCACCTGAGCTGTGAAGCCAGCTGCTTCCATTGGTGGGTCATTTTTGCTGTCACCAGCCACATTGCCACGACGAACATCTTTGACAGATACGTTCTTCACATTGAAGCCCACATTGTCCCCAGGAAGAGCCTCACTCAAAGCTTCATGGTGCATTTCAACGGACTTTACTTCAGTTGTAACATTGACTGGAGCAAAGGTGACCACCATGCCAGGTTTAAGAACACCAGTCTCGACTCGGCCCACAGGGACAGTACCAATACCACCAATTTTGTAGACGTCCTGGAGACGCAGACGCAAGGGCTTGTCAATTGGACGAGTTGGTGGCAGAATGCAATCCAGAGCTTCAAGCAGTGTGGTTCCACTCTGCCAACTTCTCTTCTATCATCCAACGCATATTAAATTTTTTCATTAACCTCGAACATTAATACTATCTCCAGATAAGAGTTAAAACATATTTGTCTTTTTGAAGAAACCAGTTCTTGAAATTAACAGTTTTATGCTTTTCTATTTCTTCAGTTTCTGCTTTTATCTTTGGTATGTTATGTTTCCAGTTTCTCTTCAGTACCATTTTTATTGTATATGTAATAGGTTGTGTATGTGGTCACATTATTTTAATCTTTTACTATTTAATAAAGTATTAAAGGCTATTAATTTACATCTCAGTATAGCTCTGGTTCATCTTTGAGGTTTTATTGTTTGTTTTCTTTTCATTATTTTTATTTTTTTTAAAGAGATTTTATTTTATTTATTTGAGAGAGAGAGCGAGCGAGCACACAGCAGGGGGAGGAGCAAAGGGAGAAGCAGCAGCAGACTCCCTGCTGAGCACGGAGCCTGATGCAGATGCTGGGCTCCTTCCCAGGACCCTGAGATCATAACCGGAGCCAAAGTCAGATGCTTAACCAACTGAGCCACCCAGGTGCCCCTCTCTTCATTATTTTTAATAGCCTGACATTGTTTTATTTCCTCTTTGCCACAAGTTCTTTTTCCATATTTTTATTTTATAAATTTATATAAATTTTGATTTGTATTAAGTTTTTACTTCTTCTATATATTTATTTATCCTCTATAATAGCAAATATGGCTTTCCTTAATTTTAATTTTTTTGAATCTACTAGTTTTCATTGCATATATGGACTTTAGAGCCTATTTTCATAAATGTTCCACAAAAAATTCATAAAAGAAAATAAAAGAATATCTATTTTCTCTTGTAATTAATTTTGTTTCTTAAACACATTAAATATATTATTCAAATCCTCCCTATATTTTTTTACTGTCTGTAAAAACCAAGAGTAATATTTAAAATTTTTTCTTTATTTTGATAGCTTTTTTATTATATATTCATTTAATGTACTATTTTATGGTTTAAACATCGTGGTTTGAATTTAATTATGAATTCAATTATTATAATATTGGTTAATTTTTTTAGTATAATTACTTGCTTTATATGAAATCAATATATACCTGTTATTTCTTTGTTGCTTTCCTAAATGGTTACACAGCTTACTTTTTTTTGGACCACTGCTATTTTTCTTTTAGATTTATCTCTTCTTTCTCCCTCTGTTCCACCTACTTTGGACTTAATTTACTTTCTTAAGAATGTGCATTTTTCTTTTTTCTTGTTAAACCTTTATCCCTGCGTCTCCTCTACCTTTCCTGCACTTTTGCCTTGAGAATCTTTACTTATCCTTTAAATGGTGGTTCCCATGGCACTGCCTCAGAAGAGACTTTCTCAATTTCCAAACTAGGTCATGTCTCTCCATTAGGTATCTTTTAATACCTTGCACTCCAAAGAAGGTGCAATTTCAATAGCAAACTTGGAGAAGAACACGTTTAAAGCAGAAAGTTAACCAGAGAAGAAAAAAAAGGATGAGAAGAAGGAAGAGTAGGGGAGGTGGAGGAGATAAGGGGGACCTATTTAGTAATGAACAGCTAAGTGAGAAGTCCTTGCAGCTTTGTTAGTCATGTATATCCACTTTTAACCTTGCCTGCATTATTTAATTTTTCCTGAATGTTTAATTTAGCCCTATAATGAATGTGTCTTCCTCTCTCTCTCTCTCAAGTTGAAAGATTATTTGTATTTACTTCTTTTATTTTATGATAAATGTCTTCATAGCTATGAAATTTCCTCTCAGTACAACTTTAGTTACATCCCACATATTTTTTACAATATTTTTTGGAAATAATTTTAACTTGTAAGAAAGTTTAAGAATAAAAATAATACAAGACCCATATATATTTTACACAAATTTACGTGTGTTTGTTATTCCATGTGTCATACCCACTTTTTTTCTGAAACAAGTGCATTCGTCATGAACTTCTACTCTAAATATATCAGTGCCCCGGTCCTAAGAATTAGCTAACATATACACGCTATTTAAATCAGTATCGGCTTTATTTAAAAACGTTAATTATACCTTCTTAGAGGAACTTGTTGGACAGCAGGGACGGAAGCTTTAGCATGAGCTCATACTGAGACAGGGACCTGGGAATCATTCGGATCAAGACGATAGAGCCACAGGCAGAATCAGCATGGGCTCCAGAGAGAACGCTGGGAGAGCAGAGCTGAGTAGCAAGGACTGCAGGTGGAGGAGGAACGTAAGGCAGACAATACACAGTATTGAAGATGATGATGAGAACAGTGTTTCAAAAAATAGTGCAAAATAGTGTCAGGTACCAGATTTAAGAGGATAAACAAAAGGAAGCATTTAAGAGTAAGAACTATCAGGAACATCTTTGGGTTTGGAGAGCTTAAGTTTAACTTCTGCAAAGGTTAAATTCTGTAGCGTAGGGTAGGGGTAGGCAGATCCCAAACCGCAAACAGTTGAGGAATGAAGACGTAGGGAGAACTTTGTGGACTATGTTCCAAAGAACGTGATGAAGAGACACTTTGCACAGGGGCTCAGGACAGTTCAGATTATAAAGGGTAGTGAGTGTTTGTTTATAGTTTGGGGAAACTATGGTCATGTGTATAGACAGAGAGAGAGAGAATTAATGGTCAAAGAAGGAGTGTAGATAATGGAAGAGAAACATCTTCAAGTATGAGGGAAAACATGGGCTCATGTACAGGCTTAGCCCTGAATAAAGGCAAGGATGATTTCTTGAAGGTAGAGAGAACACAGAGGAAATTAACGAGTATCCAGATCATTTCAATGTTGATAGAAAATTGAGAGAGCTCATGTTAACTGGCCTCAATAAAAGCATCTTGATCTCCAGAGAATCAGGGAGAAGAAAAGTCCATCTTGATATTTCTGAAAATTGGAAAAACATTTGGAATAAGAGTTTTAGGGAAAGTAATAGGGATTTAATAGGGATAAGGAGAAGAACTGCTCAGCACAGGGAGGGCCTAGGTCAGTTTGCAATGGAATGAAGTAACCCCATTTTATGTCTTTCTCCAGGACTAGTTGGAATCCTGGAAATAGGAAAAAATGGGATAACTGGATTTATTTAAAAACTAATTTTAAAATGGAGAATATTTTTTTTTTTTAAAGATTTTATTTATTTATTTGAGACAGAGAGAATGAGAGAGAACACATGAGAGAGAGAAGGGTCAGAGGGAGAAGGAGACTCCCCGCCGAGCAGGGAGCCCGATGCGGGACTCGATCCCGGGACTCCAGGATCATGACCTGAGCCGAAGGCAGTCGCTTAACCAACTGAGCCACCCAGGCGCCCTAAAATGGAGAATATTTTTAAGCCATGTACTAAAATATTTAAGATGAATTTTGGGCAGATGGGGGAAGGAGCTGAGAAAATTTGATCAAGTACCTTTAAAGAGGGGACATTAGGATGTAAGCATGGTGTCATCACAGATTAGACTCTCCCTGCATTGAGATACTAGACGCATTACAAGGCTAGAGCAAACTAGAGCACTTTATCAACCATGCAATAAATATGTATCATGTAGATACACCACATTAGTAACATAAATGATGTATTATGACATAAAGAAAATGTATATATTGATATTATCACCAGAATCTTTTTTACATATTCTAATACATAGTAGGAATCCATGAGATAAAGTAGTAATCTATATCTTGTTTTTGTTACTTTTAAGTTAAAACGGGGTGAAAATCTTTTAAAATAAAATCTGGCTCCAAATCTCACAGAATAAACTTCGACTAAAGTCAGCCTACTCTGGTGATTCATGTACTTGACATCTTTTTAGCATTTATGGATATATGTTTTAGTATCTTCACTTGTTTTCGTGTCACACTGTAATTTTCCTGGTTGGTTTTTCTTGCCTGCAGCTTCTCACCACCCCCAGGTCATTCTCCACTTTGCCTCAGTGTTACATTTCTGAAGCACAGACTTTTCACATGCTACTACTCTCCTTTACAGTAAGTGCTGGCTCCCCTCTACCGAGGACACAGGATTCAGGACCTCTGGTAGGGTGTCTGCAGGGGGCACTATCTGTTCTCATACATCCCAAGCACGCTTCTCTCTGCCAGTCGTCTCCCGCTGACCCTCTTCTGGAGCCACACCGAGTTACTTACCATTTGCATGACAGATCATACTCTTGTACACACTGTTCCTTAAAAGAAACATGCTTCTTCCCCACTTCATCTGGAAACCTCCTTGTCTTTAAGATCTACTCAGCTCCAGTGTCAACCACCCTGAAACCTCTCTGGACTCTATTTAGACAAAATGACCTGCCTCTGCCGTCTTTGGTGCGCCTCCCTCAGAGCATGGTCCACACTATGTAAGGGCTGTCTGCACACATACCATTATACATTTTGTTCCACCTAACAATTCACCTACCTGTCATACCCTTTCACCTAACATTAACCAAACACCTGCTACATGAGTCAGAACAAGAGCTAGTTCTTGTCCCTGGGCTCATAGCTCCCTTACTAGACTCTAAGCTTCTCAGGTTACTGAGCTTATACTCCAGAAAAATTATACTCGCTAATCATGTTGAAACTTAGCTATCCATGTCTTCCCCTTTATCACTCAATTTCCTCTCCCTGGAATGCCTTCCTTCTCTTCTGGTTGAAAGCCTATATTAACTTCTTAGACACCAGTTCAAATCCTACCTTCTACTTAGGGCCCACCTTGGTCCCAAATCTAATACAGGGTCTTCTTCCCTTGAATGCCAACATTGTCTTGGTGATTCTCTTATGTTACTTACCGAGTGCACTTTCCATTACAGTGATCTGTGTTCTGTTTTCTCTTTGCTATCAAAATCTATAGTTTGTGCACATATTCATCTTGCATGGTGCATGTAGCTGATCATCCACAGCATTTGTTTAATTCACTTGAATGACTCAACTCACATAAGGAAGGCTCTAGGCCCCTTTCACCAAAATATCACATATTATGGTCACCGAAGCATCTATTCACAGAAAGTGCCAGGTGTA